CTGACATCACTGAATATTGATGTTATGACAACTAGCACATTTTTTTTTTCTAATTTTTCAAACTTCAAGGGAAACTAAGGCAAAATTAGAAACTAATTTATGCATTGGTCTTGAGACGTTTCTGTCACTGAAACTCAAAATTAGTCCTTGAAAGTAAAGCTTTGAGGGCCTCCCCAGTGGCACAACGATTGAGCACTGGGTTCCGAAGCTGCCCGCAGCCTCCGCGGCGCCGGTTCGCTCCCTGGCTGCTCCCCGGCCACTGGAGGAGGGTCCCACATGGCGCGCAGACCTCTCCTGCCACCGGCTGCTCCCCTCAGCAGTGTGCTTTGGCCTTCTGCCTGCTCTGCTCCCCGCTCTGGCTCTGGTGAATTCTCTCACCCTCCCACGCTTCTGACTGTACCCAGTGCTTGTATAAATAAATAAATAAATAAACAAATAAACAAATAAATCTTTAAAAAAAAAAGTAAAGCTTTGAAATATGAAATGTTGGCAAGGGTAAAAGGTAAGTGGATGTTTCATGCTATGCTATTAAAAGTATAAAGTGCTCCAGTCCATTTGGGGGGCAATTTTAGGGTGTTATGTGGCACATTCTGGTTTTGGATTAAGAGTGGCAGGTTGATCACATACTTTAACCTGTGGTCCTTTCTGAAATTCAGTAAAATAACAGTAACATCATGTTTTTTAATGGCATAAATTCACAGAAACAGCATGAACAGCCTGAACAATAAAGGAAACAATAGCATCAATAGTTTTGACACTGAAAGTGACAGATGAATGAAAACTGATTTGGAAAACATGAAAATCTGAAAAAGGAATGAGGAAAATCAAGAAGCAATCTTACTATAACACAAACTCCTCCTTAGAAATTAATAGTACCCTGTGCTCTGGGAGCTGGGATGAAGGATTTTTGACTCAAATTCGGTGTAGACTGCCAAGTCCCTCCCTAATATTATTATGCTCCTAAGCAACTCTTTCTTCCCCACCTCAGGGAAGCCTGGAATCTAATTTACATTTACTTTGAAGTTAAGTAGTCTTAGCTTCAGGGCCTACCACTTGAATGGTCCCTTTCAAGGTACTGGAGGCACTTAAGAAATGTGTTTAGGGCCTCCCCGGTGGCGCAGCGGTTGAGCGCTGGGTTGCGAAGCTGCCCGCGGCCTCTGCCTCTGCAGCGCCAGTTCGATCCCCGGCTGCTCCCCAGCCACCGAAGGAGGGTCCCACATGGCGCGCAGACCTCTCCTGCCGCCCGCTGCTCCCCTCAGCAGTGTACTTCGGTCCTTCTGCCTGCTCTGCTCCCTGCTCTGGCTCTGGTGAATTCTCTCACCCTCCTGCGCTTGACTGTACCCAGTGCTTGTATAAACAAAACAAACAAACAAATAAATAAAACATGCCTCTATAAAAAAAAAAAAAATTTAAAAAAAAAAAGAAATGTGTTTAAATGGGGTCTCTCTGGTGGAGCAGGGGTTAAAGTCTCAGCACTATCAAGCTATCACCGGCAGCATCAGTTCAACCCACATGGCCAGGCAGACCTCTCCTGTCTCACCCAATGCTCCAGTGTATTTCAGTCGATCTGCCTGTTCTGCAACCCACTCTGTCTCTGGTGAATCTTCATATCACCCCACACCTCTGCACTCCAGTTCTTGTATGCATAAATAAAAATAAATCTTTTTAAAATATGTTTAAATGGTCATTTTTTGCTTGTTTTTAATTATGAAACTAAGTTATTTTTAATACTTTCCCTCAGTGCCCTCAAATTGCAAAAGATTCAGGCTACACAAAACTAAGATCTGCTCCTGACTAGAGTGTTATTATGAGTAGAAGTTAAAACAGGATATCTGGAGGAAATCATGTTGAACTGGAATTCACATTTGAAAAAGGGATTTAGCAAAGATATATACTAAAAGTTGATTACTAAAAGTTCACATTCCCATATTCCTTCAACCTATTTCACAGAATGCGGTCAGCATTATACCCTCTTTTCTTCTAAACTTAACTCCCGAAAGAAAGGACCAAATGACAATTAATCTGGGATCCCTTATGAAAGGGTCCAATGAGATCACCTGCAAGATAGCCCACAATTGTGGAGTCTCTATATCAGCCTCACACATGGAACTAATGTCTTCTCAGAGTATTGTAAGTTCACAGCAAAGTAATAATAATGAAACAATTACCTGTAACATAATTGTCCACAAAGTTGGTATAAATACATACAATTTAATAGGCGAAATACTACATGGCATGCACATCAAAAACATCTTTACAGACACATCACCCAAAGCAGTGATAGTGAAGGCAAAGATAAACAGCTGGGACTACATCAAATTAAACAGATTCTGCACAGCAAAAGAGACAATAACCAAAACAAAGAGAAACCCCACTGACTGGGAGAACATTTTTGCACACAACACTAATGATAAAGGACTGATCACAAAAATCTACAAAGAGCTGATGACACTCAACAAAAACAAAGAAAATAATCTGGTCAAAAAATGGGCAGAAGAGCTAAAAAGAAACTTCTCCAAAGAGGAAATGCAAATGGCCAACAGGCATATGAAAAAATGTTCAACATCACTTGTAATCAGGGAAATGCAAATCAAAACTATCATGAGATACTATCTTACACCAGAGAGAGAATGGCACATATTAAAAAAACTAGCAACAACAAATGTTGGCGAGGTTGTGGAGAAAAAGGAACTCTTCTGCACTGTTGGTGGGAGTGCAAACTGGTCCAACCACTATGGAGAGCTGTGTGGAGATTTCTGGACCTACTAAACATAGAGCTTCCATATGATCCAGCAATTCCACTCCTAGGTATTTACCCAAAGGACACAGAAACATCAATTCCAAAGAGCACCTGCACCCCTATGTTTATAGCAGCACTATTTACAATAGCTAAGCTTTGGAAACAACCCAAATGCCCAAAAATAGATGACTGAATCAAGAAGATGTGGTACATATACACAATGGAATATGACTCAGCAATCAAAAAAGATAAACACATGCAATTTGCAGCAACATGGATGGAGCTAGAAGGGATCATGCTCAGCGAAATAAGTCAGAAAGAAAAAGAAAAATACCGGATGGTCTCACTCATAGCAGGAATCTAGAAAACCTAAATAAGAGACCAGGAAAAAGACTAATCAATACAAAGTAAAAATCAAAATCAACAAGCAACTATAAACTAGAGACATACTACGGCGGGTGGGGGTGTTGGTTGAGGGAGGGACGGGGAAAGGAAGGACTAGATTCAAAATAAGGGGGGGGGTGCAATTGTAAGGGGAATATAACCAAAATGAAAATGCATACATTGTGCAAAGATGAAAAAGATGTAAGAATTATATAAAATAATATATTTAAAAAATACATACAATTTAAATTCACTGCCAATAAAAAATTTAGAATAGTATTTTTATAAAATATTTTATGCTTATATATACATCTTTTGTAATTCATTTCAATTTATGATTTATTTAAAAAAAATACACTGTACTGAATCAAATACTATGGGAATAAACAAATGAATGTACAAATAAAACAATATTAGGAATATGTTCAATATCAAGCCAGACAGAGTTTTGGTGAGTTATTAGGGAAAATGAGACACAGTGGGGAGAAGGAACAAAGTAATTGAGTCATTGGTCAAGGAATCAGGAGAAATACATTAATGTTAGAGGATTTGTATTCATTGAGCTATTTACTTCATTTCAAGCTACTTAAATTCAGCATAATTGTATGTATTTATTGGCCTTTTGTGTTTTCTCTGAATAAATTGTCCATATAAGTTATTCATTTTTTGGATAGCTGTGTGGGGGGGTGCTCTAGAAAACTCCACCTTCTGTCATTGAGTTCCCTATGAGAGGCACCCACTGTCTTGGAGGTTCATCTTACAAAAACATTATGAATAGAGCTGAAGCTAAAGTAAAAATTTCTGAAGAATTCCTGACTTGATTACTGGGATTTAATTATTCTGCAAAAACTCCTCTTTCATCTTCCTGCCAAGAAGAATATGGATTCCCTCCTAAGATTTCAAAAAATAGCCAGGAAACACAGATAATAATAAAGTGGTAGCAAGGATGAAAGAAAATTTCAAGTTCATGTTAGGCACTCGTTTTGTCTACAAGTTTGAGAGGTTGCAGTATGCGGAGATACTGGCAGATCAACATGATGCACCAAAGTCCCAGTTGTGTCCCACTTAAAGTTTGTTGTGTTCCACTAAAGCACCACACCTGCTGAGATTGTAAAATTTGGAATTATGTTGGTCTGTACACCAGTGCTTGAGCAGATCTTTGCTTTATTTTGCTTTATTTCTTAGTTATCTTTGTGATTTCTTAAAATTCCTGGTAATGCATTCCACAAGTCTGTTTAGTGCCAGCAATTATGAAGTGGGACTCCCGGAGAACCAACAAGAAGCTCTATGATTGGTGTCAACACATTTTTATTCTTAATCTTTCTCTTGCACAAATGATATAATTTGAAAATGTTAATGTATAGCTGAACTGATGCTTGTTTTTTTTCTTTGATTTTTAAACAAAGATAATAAAAGGGGTTTTCTTTTTTCTCATTTCGAAGTTGCTACCAGTATATTCAAGGATGGACAACAGACATGCTCTGGTAGTCCATTGCCTAGTCGAAAAAGCTGCTTTTGAATGCTAGTGCTTCTGTTACTGTGATGCTACGCACATTTATGTGTTAATGCTCTATGACAAATACTATGATTGCTAGTGCCAAAGGTCCAATTCAGTGTATGTAATTAAACAAACTCACTCCTTTCTTTGTATGGTGCTTAAAGAGCCCACCCTTTACAAATCATTCATGTTGTTCCTTAGGCATCTTCGCTTTGTTCAGATTATTGATGAATGTAGGCTTGATTCATGGTTTTTGTGTTTGTGTCTAATGCATGTTTTAACATAACAGACACAGTGCATTGTGTATTCAGTTTTCAGAAAAAGTGATTCTTTTAGAAAGTGTTTTTCAGAGATTCAATAAATTTTTCCTTTGTTTCAAAAAAATACCAACTACAGGTTGAAATAAAATGTCCACTTTAATATTTATCACACATGTTTACTTACACTTATCTGAAAATTATGAGGACAATTTGTGCATGTCACATTCATATTACTATCCATATAAGAACATTTACACACAGATATTTATTCAACTATATCAGGATAACACACAAGGTTTTTATTAGTTATAGACTTCTCCATTAAAAACAAATACCAAATAAGGAAAATGAATTTCCAAAGATTAAGTTATCAACAATATGAATAATATAAACTATTTCTAAATGTCTTACATTTTGAATTTGAATTATATACTATTACTTCCCAAACCATAAATTATAACAAAGGGTCACTGTCAGGGTGAAAATATATATTTTTAAAGCTTTTTTTTTTTAAATATGCTTTTATGCTTTAACATCCCTTGATTTATTCTTGGCACATGTGGCATCTTGGAAAGTAAAAATACACTTTGCCAATTTTGTCATTGTGCAGGTATTAGAGAAAGAGCACAGTTTGGGAGGCAGACAGACCTGTGTTCAATTACCAGCTTTGTCCAAAGTTTTCTTGCATGAAGCTGGTCAATTATTTCTTGGCACTGGGGCCAGGATTAAGTTAAATAATGCATATTTTAAAATGCATAGCATGGGCACTAAATGAATGCTAGATCCTTTCCTCAATTTAATTCCATTGAAGCACTAGCAATAATATATCACAGTCTTATGTTTTGGTACAATTTGAAAAACTGAAAAAAAATGAGAAGTTTAAAAATAAAATCAATGTACTTTGAAAAATCACACTCTTAAGAAATAAGGAAATCCTGTATCAGGCTTAAATATTTCTCAATAAAACTTAGTGCCTACTATACCCTGATTAAAAAAAAAAAAAGTCCTAAAGAATGATAAAATGGTCAATGGTTAAGGACTTTTGGTTTGTTTTTTTTTTTGTTTTTTTGTGCTACTGATATAAAAATAATGGCTATATTTAAGGCTCATTAAGTGATTTTTTGTAGTTGCCCTGAACCAAATCTATATTCTTGATGTTGCACTATCAGTTAAAACAGACCTACCACCTTGAATGACTATCATAAAGAAACTCCAAGATATTCTACATTGGAATAATCATGACTTCCTTATTGAGTTTAAGTAATGGTTCATTTGGTGGCATGTGGCATTATAGCTTGTCTGTCATTAGGATGATTTTTATATGCATAATCACAAACCCATCTTTCTCATCCTTTCTCTGAAAACTAAATTTAAATTTCAGAAGGAATAACCTACTCTAGAAGGCAATGTTTCCATCTCTATTTCTGGATCTTTTCGTTTTCTATCCTTACCATCTAATAAATCATCTTTCTAAATCTGACTCAAAAACTCCTCCAAAAACCTTTCTCTAACCAAACTTTACAACCCTTCATTTATGTCCCTGACACTCATGTATAATTTGTATTAACATCAACCTGCATATATTATTTATTTTTTGTTTACCTTCTACTTCCAGCTAAGATAAACTCACTTTGACTTTTTAAGCTTCCACAGTGTTTAGCACAATGCTGTGCATGTATGTACGTGATGATTCTTATGCACATGGGGTATGTATATTGAACATGGGTAGATGTAGGGAAGGAAGTTTCATAATTTTTTAGAAATCAAAATTGATGGACTTTCTTAATATAAAAAAATATGATTTCCAAAGCTATCTCAGTTAGGCTTTAGATATGTTAATAATAAAAAGGCAGTGGGGAAAAACTGTTTAAAAAATCTTTATGAAAGATTCCAAGAGTTTTTAATAAATTATTAAGAGCACCAAATCAAAATATTTTACAGAATAGCGGCATAACCTTTCCTATAACTTGACATATATAGACTCCATTTCATTCAAGACAAAGAATACTGAACAGGAATAGGTGTTGTGAATCAGGATTAAAAAAAGGCAATTCAGTTGAAGTCAATATCTAATGCACACCTTGCAATTAATTTGAAAAGCTTTCTGCATGTTATGTTAGTAAAAGAATGGTTTATGTTAGGATGTTGTAGTTCTCTTGGTGTTTTGATACTATAAAATATGATACATATACTGAAGCTGCTATTTAACAAGAAAAATTTTGTTTATAATAGCTGTTAATATTAAAATAGGATATATTAAAAAATTATTTTCAATGTGTATATTTTCAAATTTGCCTGACAGTGTCCTTTTGAGAAATCTGACAGTTTGTATTTAGATTACAAACATTTGAATTTCACTTTTATGATTAAAAATATTACACTTACATAATAACAAACAACAATATATATTAGCTTTTTACTGAAGCACTCTTGCAATTATATTTAAAGCTTTACAATAAAACAAAATCCATTGTTGTTTTTGTAAGTAAAATTACACAACACACAATGTACACTATAATAACATTAAGAATAAATAAGTAAAATGAAGTATGAAATGTTCAGTACCATAACAATGGAATGTTTTAGCTCTCATTCTATATGTTAATTTGTATTTTTGTATTGAGTTATAATGTATTTCAAACCCAAGAAACATCTCTAAATAATAAACTAAAAATACCAAGTTTGTTGTATGAACATAAAATATTTTGCCTGTTTACCAAGGTCATCTAGGAAATAAAATAAGACAAATGGGAAGCTAGGACAGGTCTTTTTCTTAGAGTAAAAACCTCCTTGCTTTTGAAAATATTACAAGATGACAGCTTTGGCAAATAATAAGCTTATTTAAGCGGTTTCTTATTTGGAAGAAAATAATTTAAACTAAGATTTCCTTTTTTGGCTTATTCATTCTCAATCTTTTTTTCTATAATATACAAAAGCACTTCTTGAGATGCTCACTGTTATTCATTTTAAACAGCACAAAATGAATTGGATTAATTTACAGAATTAATCAAAATAGATTATCAGTTCACATACTAGGGTGAGGTCCTAGAATTTGTTACACGTAGGGCTAAACTTGCAAGAGATCTCATGGCAAAAGTAGAAACTTTGTGACATATCCCAGCTTTTGATATATAGTTAGAAGCCAATCGAAAAAGCCTTTCAGCACCAAAGGTATTGAAGTGGCCAGGAAGCACCTTCTCAACCAGACCTCTGTCCACTAATTCTATCAACCGTTCACAGGTTCCAACATAGTCACTTATCCTGCTGTATGGGAGCCAATCAATCAGTGATCCATCATACACAACATCTCCACTGAAGAGAATCTTTCGGTCTTTGTCATGTAAGCAAATACTGCCCCTGGAGTGACCAGGCATGTGCATAACAGTGAGCTGTCTGTCACCAAGATTGATCACATCCCCTGCAAATGGAAACAGAGTTTAGAGATAAACATGTTGCATAATTGACTTTTAAGCATTTAGAGACAGTAAGAGCATAGTATTCAACAGTTTCAAGAGATTGGGATAGATGACACTTTAATTTTATTTCAAAAAACATCATACTTCTTCATGATGACTTAAAATAGTGAGTAATGTGGAATACTGTTTTTGCAGGTTGTTATAACACATTAAAGAAGAGAAGATTCTGTGGTCAAATAACTTTGGAAAGTATTGCTTTAAAGTAAATTAAGCATCTTTCTTTTCAAGACTTAGTTTTTAATGTGCTGTGCATTGTGGAATATATATATATGTGTATATATATGTTCTGTTTTCCAGAACATCCGTGGCACCTGTTAATATAATTTATTAATGCTACTTTAGTGAATATTATATTTTAGTCTCTTGTTCTGTCAGATGTGGGAATTAAATCTTGAGGAATCAGGATAAATTATTATATTCTGGCCACTGCTATTGCTATTAGTAGTAAACTATCCTTAATCTCCAACTCTGGAACCTCATGTCATCTGTCAGTATCCATTAACCTGTGGCAAGCTAACTTGTTAAATTATAAGGGTAAAATCTCATACTTTTCCCAATAAATGGATAGTGAGGAGGATATAGAGCAATATTAAGAACAAAATTGGTGGGGTCTCCCTGGTGGCACAAGGGGTTAAGATGCAACCCATGAAGCTATCCGCAGCCACTGCAGCATGAGTACATCCCTGGCCAGGGAGCTACCCACATGGCGCAGCAGACCTCTCCTGACTCGCCTGCTGCTCTCTGCAGCAGTGTGTTTCACTCGATCCACCTGTTCTGCTCCCCCTCTGTCTGGTCAAGCCTCTCACGCCCCCTACACCTCTGGCCTGTACCCCAGTTCTTGTATGCATAATAAAATAAATCTTTATTTACTTTTTAAGATTTATTTTTTATTTATACAAGAACCAGGGTACAGACCAGATGAGTGGGAAGGTGAGAGGATTCATCAGAAAGAGCGGGGAACAGAACAGGCAGACTGACGAAATACACTGCTGAGGTGAGTAGTGGGTGAGACAGGAGAGGTCTGCTTCGCCATGTGGGTTGCTCCGAGACCAGTGGACAACTTCACAGCTCTGCGCTCAACTGCCTGCACCACCAGGGAGGCCCTAAAATAAATCTTTAAAAAAAAAACAAACTTAGTATTTTAATGGATTTAAATCAGTACTAACATACGTAAATTGCTGCATGTTATAGATTCATACTGTTACCTCTAGAGCAAATACACACATACACAGAAGTAAAAAATCAGAGAAATACAGCTAAAAGCTAATAAAGGAATTAAAATGGTATAATAATTGGCATTTGTTAAACATAAAAGATGATAATAAATGTGTAACAGAGGGATAAATAAAAAATAAGTGTAGGTAACTACAAAATGGAGACCTAAATACAACTGTATCAATTATGACATAAAATATGAATGTAATAAACACTCTAATCAAAGACAGTGATTGTAAGACTAGATAAAAAAGGAAGATCTCTATACAGTCTACCAGTAAGAAACTATAAGGTAAAAGATAAAAACAGACTGAAAAAAATTTTTTACCGTAAAATATAAATAATCAGGGAAATAGAGTGGCTATGTTAATAAGACAATACAGATTTTTACATAAGGAATATTACTAGAAAAAACAAGTATGTTTTATGAAGATATACATTCAATCTGCACATTAAAAAATAAAAATTATAAATATATATGTATCTAGAAGAAATTAAAAATGCATGAAGCAAAATTGATAGAAATGATATGAGAAACAGTTCAATAATTATGCTTAGATATTTAAATATTCCTCTCTAAACAATTCATAATAAAAGTAGATAGAAAATAAGTAAGGATGCAGAATACCTAAGTGACACTATCACCAGTTTGACCTAATTGACATATATATAATACTTTAAACCAAAATAGCAAAGTACTTTTTTCAATTGCACAAGAAATATTGACCAAGGTGTAAAGTTAGGACAATATAGCAAGTCTGATTAATAAATGTAAGATACATGATACAAAAAATGTGCTCTGACCAGAAAATAAGTAAATGAGAAATCAATAGCAAAAATAAACATGAAACATATCTCAAGATATACCAAGTAACATCACACTTCTACATAGCTTATGGATCAAAGAAAAAAAATCCCAAGAGAGATTAGAAAATATCTTTAATTGAAATTAAAATAAAGTAAATATAAATATAAAAATAAAATAAAACATCACAATTTATGGAAAGCAGTTAATGTAAAGGTTAGAAATTTACTACTTTAAGTGCTTATTTATAAAGGATTAAGTGTTTAAAAACAATAACCAAAGTTTCTATCTCAATAGTTGAGGAAAAAAGAGCAAAACAAAATAAGTATTAAGGAAGAAATGATACAAGTCAGAACAGAAAAAAATGAAAGATCAATTATCAATAGAGAAAAGGATATTTAGTTGGATCTTTGAAAATAGGGACAAAAACGGATACATTTTTGGCTAGACAAAAGAAGAAAAAAAATAGAGAAAACATAAATTGCAAAAAATCAGGAAAGTAAGAGGAGATAACACTACAGAGTCTCAAGAAATTAAAAGTGTAAATGAATGTTACGAACAATTTTAAGGCAACAAATGTGATTTAGTTGAAATAAAAAAATTCTTGAAAGAGATAAGTAATCAAAAATGACTGATTAATAATTTAAATCTCCTCACAAGGAAATTCTGGGCTCAGAGATGGTGTCTGTCATTTCTGTCCAAATTGAAGATCAGACTATATCAATCCCATATTAAGATTTTCATAATAAAAACTTCACTCAATTTTATCCTTATAAAAGTGAAAGACAGGGGCCTCCCCAGTAGCACAACCTATGAAGCAGTCCGCAGCCACTGCAGCACAAGTTCGATTCCCAGCTGGCCAGGGAGCAGCCCACATGGCACAGCAGACCTCTGCTGACTCGCCCACTGCTTCCCTTGGCAGTGTACTTCGACGAACTGCCTGTTCTTTTCCCCACTCTGTCTCTGGTGAGTCCTTTCACCCCCAATATCTCTGGCCTGCACCCCAGCTCTTGTATACATAAATAAATCAATCTTTTTTTTAAAAAGTCAAAGTGTAGAAAAAAAGAAAACTATAAAAACAATATTCTCAATATCCTTATCAAAATTTTGGCAAATTAAATGCAGCATTTTTTAAATAGGATAGTGATCAAATTTATTTGATTTGACTTCTACAAAGCAATTAATGTCAAATACCATAATAATAAAATAAAGGAGAAAAATCATATTCTCATCTAAATAGACGTAGAAGCATATATGACAAAATCCAACCCTTTTTCATGATAAAAAAAAAAATTCAGCAAACTAGAAATAAACAGGGATGGTCCTCAAGTTGATAAAAAGGCATCTATAGAAAACCCTAAAGCTAACCTCTCATTGAATGGAAACTTTAAATACTTTCCTCCTAAGGTAGGAACAGGCTAGGATGTATGCTCTTATTTACCATTCTGCTAAAAATTTTATCTAGTGCATTAAGCCAATCTTTGATTGAACAGAAATAGCGGAGAATAGCGAATGCTCCCCAAAGCCCCTGCCACCAGTAAAAAGAATAAAAAGACAGTGCTCTGATGGCATTTCCCTACCCCATCCCTTGGGACTAGAACTGACCTTATGAAGTCAGTCCATGCATGCAATGCATGCTCTGAAGAGTCCACCCATATTTCCCATCAGCCCCTGCTCAGATGGTAGAGTCTGGAAGGTCGACCTTCTACCATTGAGTAGAAGGGCACCACTTACTGGCTTGGGGATTGCTCCTCACTGTTCATCTTATACTAAGAGGGAAATTTACAGCAATATGGGCACACATCAAAAAAAACAAACAAACAAAAAACAGCTCAAATGATCTAACCTGACATCTTAAGGAATTAAAAAAGAACAAATAAAACCAAAAGTCAGTAGAATGAAAGAAATAATAAAAATTAGAATAGAAATAAAAAAGTTAAAAAGATCAATGAAACCGAAAGTAAGTTCTTTAAAAAAAATAAACAAAATAGACAAACCTCTATCTAGGTTCACAAAATAAAAACGGGAGAAAATTATTCATAAATAGAATCAGAAACAAGAGCAGGAAGTCACAAGAGGCATCACAAAAATACAGATCGTAAGAGACTACTCTGAAAATCTTTATGTCAGTAAATTGAATAACCTAGAGGAACGCTCAAATACTTAGACGCATGCAACCTTCTAAGTTTGAATTAAGAAACAGAATACCAATTACAGGCAAGTAAGTTGAAACTGTATTCAAAAGTCTTCCCCAAACAAAAACCTAGGACCATATGGTTTCAATATGAACTTCACCAAACCTTCACAAACTAATACATATTCTCTATCACTTCCAAGAAATTGAGGATGAGGGAATGTTTCCAAACACATTTTATGAGGCCAACATTACTCTGATACTCTGAGAAGATCATATACCACAATCAAGTGAGTTTCATTTCAGGTATACAAGTATGGTTCAACATCTGCAAACAGATCAATGTAATTCACCACATCAACAAAGGAAAGATCAAAATCACAGGATCCTATCAACAGATTCTGAGGAAATTTGACAAGTTTCAACACCCATTTATGACAAAAAACTCTCAAAATAATGAGGACAGGAGGAACATACTTCACCATATAATAAAGGCAAAATGTGACAAACCCACAGCTAATATCAAATGCAATAGTAAAGACCAAAGTTTTTCCTCCAAGAACTTCTACAAGGATGTACACTTTCACCTCTACTATTCAATGTAGTATTAGAAATCTACCTAGCGAACTCAGGCAACAGAAATTTATAAAAAGCAATCCAAATTGGGGAAGCAGCAAAGCTATCACTATTTGAAAATACTAAGGGCCTCCCCGGTGGCGCAGCGGTTGAGCGCTGGGTTGCGAAGCTGCCCGCGGCCTCTGCGGCTCCGGTTCGATCCCCGGCTGCTC